CTTTCCCTATGGAACATGGGTCGAAATATGAAAAATAAATTTGGACCTCCCATACAAAATGAACTCCATTTGTATGGGAGTTTTTATGGGTTGTTTTGTAACACGTTGTATGTACATTTGTATTATTCACTCAAGCATCTTCATTTTCAGCCCACATCCACCCACTACTTCACATTATAATCATCTTCGCTATTCCGCCAATCCTTAAAGCGATTTATTCATTCATGGAACGTAGCATCTTAGACGTCAAGTGGATACCTCAAAATGGAAATCGTCGAAGAGGTAGACCCCGTAAAAGATGGAGTGACGATCTTAGCTCATATCGTGAAGACTGGTGGGAGCTAAGCAAGGATAGTGATAGGCGGAAAAAAGAAGGGGAGGCTTTTGCCCATAGTCCTAGCGGTAGTTCAAAACATGCTGCACCTGAGAGAAGAGTTCTGAAATTTGGTACACTTATTCTTTAGGGTAAATGAATCAATTTGACCCGTAGTACACAATTTTAAAAAAATCCTATGAGGAGTAATAACGTCATCTTTATTTGTATGGGAAAAAAAAAATTTGTTCCAAAACCTATCGTGTGTGGTATCAAATATATGACATTATTATATTTCAGTCACTTGTATAAAATTAAATAGGAAATAATTCTCGAAACATGCCACGTTTGGGCTTCTCCAGGTATGATACGGTTGAATCATGCCTTATGAAATATACGTAATATAATGTGTAATATCCTCATCTCTAACCTCAAGAAAGGTACTACGGATATTTTGTCTTTAGGTATTTTTTTTTAATTTTAAAGTTACAGAAATTTATGAAAACACACTTAGTTGAAATTTGGCATCGAAAGTTCAATTTTGGACACCGAGAATGATAAAAATATAGCCAGATGAGATTCCAATCATATTATTATGTACATCACATCATATTCGTTTTGCAAAAAGAATGTTGTGTGCTTCGGAGGGCACGGTTAACCGACGGCCCCATAGCAGTCGCTCTCTATGAATAATAAAACGGCGGCGGTCCGTCAGGGTCGTCAGTTAGGGGCTGAATAGTAACCATGGTTCATCGGGTCGTTCGTAGACTCGGTGTCTCACTTTTCAGAACAAGATTTATTAATTATAGGATGATAAATACAAATGCGAGAGAAGTTTTCGATTGATGGTTATAGTGATCATTTCTCTATACACACATTAAACACACACCGGCAAAATCTATACATAATAATAAAGTTGTAGAGGGTCGAAAGCCTGTACATAAAAGATATTGGAAAATAAATTGTCAGCAAATTCTTGAAATTGATAACAAAACACGTTTCAAAAGTATTTACATTTTTTTCCGTTTAGATGTTTGTATGTGACAGCATCCTGAAAAACTACTGAACGGATTTTAATAAAATTTGGTACAAAGATTGCTATCTCATTGAAGAAGGTAAAGGCAACTTTTTTTCTCCACTTGAGGGACTGGAGTACCTGATGTGTACCACTAGAAGCACAACCACGAGCTCAGCTAAACAATGGGAGATACATTTATGGCACCAAAGCAAGAATTGTTTAGCATCATGGAATGCTTCTGCTGGCAAACATAGATCGAAGGTTTGGAGAACCTTATGTGGACCACCAGGTGCACCTCCAAGAGCCCAGCTAAACTACAGGAGACACATATTATATAGTCCCAAAGCAAAAATTGTTTAGCGCGATGGGACGTGTCTGCTGGAAAATATAAATCGAAGGTTTGGAGAACTACAGGAGATACAGATACGGCCCTGAAGCAAAAATAATTCAGCTTGATTGGGCCCTCCTGCTAGCAATTAGAAATCAAAGGTTTTGAAAACCTGATGTAGACCATCAGGTGTACCAAAAATAGCCCAGCTTAAATAGGTACATGAGATATACATATGGCCTCAAGAAAAAGAATATTTAGCATGGCGGGACATTTCTGCTGGCAAATAGCTAATGAAGGTGATGGATACCCTGGGAATAAATGTAAGGATGCTGGTGTGGAAATAATGTGTGTATAGACAAATGAAAATTATAAAGATGAACCAAAACTCCTCTCGCATCTGTATTTATCATCTTATGATTAATAAATCTTGTTCTGTCAAGTGGGACACTGTGTCTACGAACGACCCGATGAACCATGGATACTATTCGGCCCCTAACTATCGACCCTGACCGACCGCCGCCGTCTAATTATTCATAGAGAGCGACTACGATGGGGCCGAGGGTTAACCGTGCCCTCCGAAGCACATAACATGTTTTTTTGCAAAACGAATATGATGTACATATAATTAAAATCTCATCTGGCTTTATTTTTATCATCCTCGGTGACCAAAATTAAACTTTTGATGCCAAGTTTCAACTATGTTTTCATAAATTTCTGTAACTTTAAAATTCAAAAAAAATTACTTAAAGACAAAAAATCCGTAGTACCTTTCTTGAGGTTAGAGATGAGGACATTACACATTATATTACGTATATTTCATAAGTCATGATTCAACCGTATCATACCTGGAGAAGCCCAAACGTGGCATGTTTCGAGAATTATTTCCTATTTAATTTTATACAAGTGACTTAAATATAATAATGTCATATATTTTTAGAATCGACTTAGTAAGGCCTTTCATTTGATACCACACACGATAGGTTTTGGAACAAAAAAATTTTTTCCCATACAAAAAAAAAATGACGTCATTACTCCTCATAGGATTTTTTTTAAATTGTGTACTACGGGTCAAATCGATTTATTTACCCTAAAGATTAAGTGTACAAAATTTCAGAACTCTTCTCTCAGGTGCAGCATGTTCCATACATTCGGCCAGCGAGCCGCTTAGGCTACCAGCAGTGGGACAATATGGGCAGATAATAATGGAAATAATACTTCCCTACGCAATCGATCCATACCTTACAAAAGGGTAATTCCATGTAACGGGTGTTACAGTTCGTACACCTTTATTTAACAAAAAGTCACAAAATTATAAAGAAAACCTATCAATGTTATTGTTTTAATGCACTCCACCTGAGTAAAATTTTCGAAAAATGTATTAAAATAATAATGTCTATGTATCAGTACGAAAATATGAAGCAATTTATGCGCGGAACGGGCGTTACACGATTTGCGCCTTTACTTTCAGGTAGTCAGACAAAATCGCAAAACTCTGCGAATCTTGTAAAAATTATCTACAAAGAGTGAATTGATGTGAAAGTTTAATAAGTAGCTATTATGCCTGTGTGGGTAAATGAGTAATTAGGGAATTTATTTAATTTTTACTGAGTCTGTAATGTGTAACGGGTGTTACATGCTATTGTAACGGGAGTTACATGTACGAAATCAGTACAACAAATGTAAGATAACTAAATATTGGTTAAAAATATGGAAATAAAACTAGGTAAAAACTATTTTGGGACTATTCTCGATGTTTATTAAGACAATTATTTATCAAAATGTTTATGAGGAGTATTTAAAAAATTGCTTTGAAAACATGCACTATCAAAAGTTGTATTTTTGTATTCTTTTGTTATTTCTTTTTTTTTTTCACTTGTAACAGGCATCATAGTAATAGAAAAAATGAAATAAATCTTAAAAGTCACAGAAATTAAATATCAAAATTTTACGAAATTACTGTTATATGCCATCAATCAAATTTTTGAAAATTTGTTCTTTTTTGACTGAAAATAGTACTTAAAACTAGTTAGTTAACCAAATTAACCTCAATTACGTCCATATAAACAATTAAATAAACCTATTTATCTTCAAAAAACATTAGAAAATATTCAGGAACCACATTCTGTAACGGGGGTTACACCCATTTCTCTGCAAAAATCGAGATATTGGTGAAGCCAATTTTTGAAAATAAGATGAAAATAATGACAAAATCATCAGAACTCTTTGCTCCCAAAACCAATTAACTGTAAATTGAATAATTAAGCTGAGAAATAAACTTTTAGCTTATTTTTGTAACGGGCGTTACATCACATATCCCCATACATAAGTGCTTAAAAACCAAAGAAACAAAATATTTTTCGAAAAGACAGAATTTACCTGTAATCTCCATTGAATCCTTTACAAAATGATGGTAAAAATATCCTTAAAACAACCGTATTTTCTTCAATTTAGCCTTTGGAATTATGGCATTTAAATACTACTAACAGATGTTCCATTTTGACCTCACTCCATGACAGAAAAAAACAGTAAATTCGTATAAAATAAGCATTTATCTTTTAAGATTCGAATGATTCGATGTCTTTCGAAGGATTGTAACTATAATTTGAGTTAAAACAAGTAACTTTATTTATTTTTGCTGAAGTACTGTTTTCCATGGAATTACCCAAAAAGCGAATTCCCGTGGCTGGCGAAGATAAGGGATTTGAGAGTTGATGTGTATCGCAATTTTAGGAGACAGGCTGACAACCTGATGGTGATACACAAACTTCTAAATGACTCTCAAACTTTTGACGGAAGTGGTGTAAATGGCCGTTTATTACAGCCATTTACGCTCTGCCTATCCCACAAGGGATAAAGACGCGATATTATGTATGTATGTACGGTCGCGTTCAAAAGTGGAGGCAATGGCCTACATTTAAGGTTTGATATAACTTTTTACCCAGAAACAGGATTATATTAAAAATCTATATTCTAATAGGGTTTACTAAACTTTATCAGAATAGAGATTTTCAATATAATCCTATTTTTGGATAAAAAGTTATATCAAACCTTAAAATGAAGGTCATGGTCTCTACTTTTGAACGCGACCGTAGGTATGTACGACTTTAAAATCTTTCAGCGGCGAGTCATACGGGTGTTGCTTACCGAACGGAAGTACATTGATAAGGGATACAGGATAAACCCACTAGTGGGCGTTGTTATCAGAATTGTTAACCGCTACTGGGAGTTCACTCATTCAAAATAACAAATCTCGGCATGACCCACGCATTGGGATTTTAATGCACTCACAGTGCTATATTATTCTCATAAATTAAAAATGAGAAATTGAAAAATTCATCAGCGACCGCCGGGACTTGAACCCGGGACCGTGGGGAACGGTCCCACTCCTCTGTCAACTGAGCTACGGACGCCTGCCGTCGCGACGAGCATCGAGAGGTTGAAAAATTCATCAGGGTCAGCCAGGCGCTCGAAGCTCAGTTGGCAGAGCAGTGGGACGGTTCCCTACGGTCCCGGTTTCAAGTTCCGGCGGTCGCAGATGAGTAATGAAATTTTCTCATTTTCGATTATGACCCAATTTTCAATAGTTAACTGAAAAAGGAACTTTTTAAGCACTCGCGATTACCGCCACATACCTATTATTTATTTATCTGAAAGTAATTCGATCGCAACTGAAAAAAAATTTAAATCGTCTTACGAGAGAAACTTACGCCAGGTTTAACCTTGCTAAATAATGAAAGAAAGTACAAATAATAAGGAAACCTTTTTGTTTGAAGTTATTTTTTTGTATTCAATTCTCGCTTCTCTGAAACAGATCTATAGTAAGGTCCATCCGCTATCAAAGAGTCATGACCAGCCAAAGCGGATGACAAAGTTACGCTGGTCGCAATACTAAGATACTACGCGACCACCGTAACTTGGCCTCCCGCTTAGGCTGGTCATGACTCTTTGATAGCGGATGGACCTTACTATAGATCTGTTTCAGAGAAGCGAGAATTGAATACAAAAAAACCGGCCAAGAGCGTGTCAGACACGCCCACAAATAGGGTTTCGTAGTCAACGTTTAAATATCAGGTTTTTCAGCATTACAAACTTAATTTTGTTGCTGGTTTGTTAGCAGCAGTATGATGACCAACCGCAAATAGAAAAACCCATTTTTTTCTGAAACCTTTAAGGGTACAATATCCGTTATAGTTTTCATTGTAAGTTCAGATTGTAAGCTATATTCCGTATTTATTTCAAGTTTTTAGCGTTTATACTTTAGAAGTTACAGCTGGAACAAATTATGGGTCAAAAACGCCCTTTTTAAAAGCAAATATCTCGTGACAGAAACATTTTAGTGACTTTGTTTCAAAGAAACTTCACCTTAGTTTTAAAAGACCTATTCAACGATACCCTACTCAACATTACAGAAGAAAAAAAAATTTTTTGTCCCCCTTTCACTTGTATGGGAGGGGGTCCAAAAAACATTTACAATAATTTTTTCTTAACATTTCTATATTTGGGTCAACACGATCTATCTTCTCGCCAAATTTCATGTCGATAGCTCTAAAACTGACGAAGATATGAGGGCGCGGCATACAGACAGACAGACAGACAGACAGACAGACAGACAGACAGACATGACGAAACTATAAGGGTTTCTAGTAGACTACGAAACCCTAAAAATAACTTCAAACAAAAAGGTTTCCTTAGGCTGGTCTACTATAATTGCGGATGAACTATACACATTTTTTACGTCCACAATCAGCCACATCCTTTCACCCTACAGAAATAGAAAGTCCATCAAGAGAGTTATACAAAAATAGCTCATCAATTAAACATTAAATGCAATGTGCATTAACTGCCCACATGTTTTATAATGCTCTTGTAAGTGAAATAAAACTCTATATCCTTAATTATAGAGATGGTTTTTGAAAGTTCAGTGTTTGTAATGAGATGATGTAAGTATTTGAAGTAGTTTGTTCTGGTATGCAATGCGGCGTGCAATATAATCATGGCTTCAGGGTTTTAAAATAGTGATTATTTGTTTATTTAATACTATTTCTTAGTAAATACATACTTCAGGATTTTCTTATGCATGTAGCTTTGTACTTTAAATGTACATTTCCTTACTTAATTCTTTAGTTACTATAGTTATAGAAAAGAGTACCTATTTGTCTATCTACTTATAAATTATTGTATGAAAAAATTATAAAGAAAATCTAAAACAATACTGTAACTAAATAACTTTAGTTAAGTGTAACACACAAAATTGTATAACTAATCTATCAATCAATAGTTGATCTTGTCAATCAAACACACCAATTAATCAAATAACTGCCAATTTATCGCCTAGGGAGTTTGGTGTGATAGCAGAAAGTAGAGTACAGCACATGCAATCATACATATTTAGTGTTTAGACAAACTACGACCAAAATTACGCGACCGAAATTCAGCGGCTGAATTCCGTTCCGTCAGTTTCCGGAGTTTTCGGCACACACTATAAGCGCCGAGCCGATAAGCGATTGCCGGAACTGCCGTGTGGTGCCGGCAGAGTAGAACTGCCGTGTGGTGCCGGCAGAGTAGAACTGCCTGCCATGTGGTGCTGGCAGAGTAGAATAGCACCATCCCCTCTCTTCCCGTGGGGGTCGTAAGAGGCGAGCGAGGGATAAACCCTACCCAAACAGCCAGAGCCAACCGTATGGTGGCGGTTAATCCACCACAAAAGCATTCCCAAGGAGGGTTGACATCAGGCAGGCGGCCGGTCGTAAAATTAAGCCAAATCCTTTTGCAACACGATTTTGTGTTCAACAAAACGTGTTGCGCCGACCCCAAGTAATTGGGATAAGGGCAGGAAGATGATGACTATAAAGCGCCGAAGTTACGTACAACTCACGTCGAATTACTTTGGACGGAAATTCGGCGACGTAATTTCGGCTGAAGTGTGTCATCCGTAATGCAAATAACATTGCTGGCGTAATTAGACCGAATTCAGTCGCGTAATTTCGGTCGTAGTGCGTTGAGAACTTGAGACACTTATAGTTGAGACGGCCACTCGCTGCATTCGCCGCGGTAAGACAGTTGTATGGCGCTCCCTTTTGCACTTGGTGGTAAACTTAAGTGAGAAAGGGAGCGCTATACAACTGTCTTACGGCGGCGAACGCAGTGAGTGGCCATCTCAACTATAGAAATAAACACAAATATGTTAAACAATGACTGTCTAAAAATTACGAACTATTTTCGTGAAAGGAAGGAACTAACTAGAGTTATTAAATTTACCAGTTCTGTAAGTCTATCACTTTCTAAAATAAGGAAAACAAAAGAGTAACAAAACTCTACTGTACTCTTTGTACTCTACTGTATCTCATTCATTAAACCTTGCAAAGTGCAATAAAAAATTGTAACAAGAACTTTAGAATTGGTCATAGTTTAAGTGCTTTGACCTTAGTTGATATAAAACCACAAAACTGAATATTGGTTGGTTTCCTGTTGCCAATTCACAGTCAAACTAAATTTGGACTACAGTTTAAATTGTTACTTGTAAATTTTTGTTTCCTTAGCATATTACTTCATTTATTTAACTATTCATTCATTTATTTATCCTTAGCATATTACTTCATATATTAAGTAGGCGCGTGGGGTAGTATACACCCCATCGCATGTCGAAAGTTTCAGATGTCCATAAACATGATTCAGAAAAAGAGTTGTTTGTTCTTGTGTTTTTGTTGAGAAGAGGGTATACCACATTAGTTTAAAAATAGAATTACATATTAACATTCATTAAAGTCTGATTTTGCATGTGTTTCTTATTTAATTTAATGAAAGGAATACATAACTTTTTGGTGCGCCTAGTTATGGGTTAAATAAGCAGAAGAAAAGAGGCAAGAAATATTCTTTGGTTGCAAAACAAGATCAATGGAAGAAGGTAAGGGAAGCCTTTGCCCAGCAGTGGGATCCTTACAGCTTGATAAGATAAGATAAAATAAGACTTTTGACACCTTGACAGAGGAAATTAGGGAGTGAAGTCCTTCATTATTGAAAATATTTCAATTTTATTTAATACTCTAGAATTGATAACCATTAGAGCATAGTCTAATAAAACATGGTCTTACATTCCCAGAGTGACACTTGCCTACGTCACTAGTATTGCCACTTTATTTCAATAAAATATGTTATGGGGTAAATTCAATCTCAGGACAATGAGTTAAAATATTTCTTAATAATTTTATAATTGAGATTTACGTGTGTATAAACTTGAACTTTACAACAACACTTAAATTGTATTTATTAGTTAGCAGTATCTTTTATGATTTACAAAAAAAACTCTCATTCTGGTAACCCACAAGCATTAGTTCGAGAGCCCAGGGGGTAAGTGGCTATCTCATAAGGTACCACGATAGGTTAGGTTTGGATCGTTAACCAAGACTTAAACAAGTCGTATGACCCAGGTCTGCCAGAGCCAATCCTGCCGAAACATAAAAATAATCGATATTTTTCAGAGTCATTTTTTCGTAAAAAATATGTCATAAGGTACCACAATGAAAGTGCTGGCATCAGTTAACCATTGAAAAATTATGTAGAAAAAGCTTGGTCTGCCACTGCGCACCCTGCCGGAAGTGCTTGCCAGACCTCTCCAAAGATGCCCTTCCGACACCCCTAAACTATCTCATCGGGTACCACGACGCGACCACCACAACATAATAGCCAAGATCACTCTGACAATAGATCACAAGGTCTGCCAGGCCTAAACTTGCCGCATCCTAGTGTTTCAGACATTTGAAGTTGTAGGTCCAGTGTATGAAAAATTACCTATATCTTTTTCGCCCCGTGTTTGATTTTGATGGTGCCTTAATACGAAATGCTCTCCATAATAAGGAGCTTCGAGTCATATAGGACAGTTGGGTGGAGGGTTTCAGTATTGAACGCAATCCTGTCAAAAAGTTTGAAATGGAGGTTTGGTCTATGAAAACTGGCCTATATCTTATTCCCCAGGTTTGATTTTGATGGCGCCTTAATATGAAATGCTCTCCATAACTAGGAGCTTTGAGTCATATAGTTCAGTGAGGAGGAGGGTCTCTGTATTGTACACAATCCTGTCAAAAGTGTGAAATTGTAGGTAAAGTGTATGAAAACTGGCCTATATCTTTTCCCCCACTGGTTTGATTTTGATGGTGCCTTGGTATGAAATGCTCGTAATGATTAGGAGATTCGATTTGTATAGGTCAATTGGATAGAAGGTCTCTGTTCTGTGCACAATCCTCCTAAATATGAAAATATTCGATAACTTCTGCAGATTTTATCAGTTAAAATTGTCGTATCATAAGGAACTCGAATAAAAGTGCTTGCATCACCTTACCTTTGACAAATTATGTTTAAAAAACTTGGTCTGCCACTGCCCACTCTGCTGGAAGTCCTTAGATGAGATAGGTTA